CACACACACACACACACACACACACACACACACACCTACATATATATGTGCATATGGTATTTTATGTGATTGACTACAATGATCTTTAGATTATGAAAAGGTGTACTAGCAAGAAAAACAAAGAATGCCAAAGAATTCTCACATGAACCTCTCTCATCAGGAGCTGGTCATGCTGCATACAGCCCGGAAACCCTGATAGTCCACCTCCCCATCCTGCATGTAGGAGGGAAACTCAGGTAGTTCCCTCCTCAATCCTGCATGGAGGGAAACCCAGGTAGTTCCCCCCCTCACCATCAATCCTCCATGTAGGAGAGAAACACAGGTAGATGCCCCTTATTCCTGCATGTAGCAGGGAAACTCAGATAGTCCTCCTTCCCATTTGAGTATTGGGTGAATAAGAGCAAAATGAATTGTATAAAATTTTCAAAGAACTAATTTTAAAAACAAGGAAAAAAAGACTATTCATTCCATGTTCTGGTATCAGGGAGATCTAGAAAAAGGGCATGATGACATCACTTGGAACTTGGTGGCTGTAGAGTAATTCCACACATATTTCTTTCCTTTAAGTCCTATCTCTGAATTACATGATAGGTACCACCAGAAGTCTTCCTTCACAATATAAAAGAAGCCTCACAAAGCCCTCAGAGTAGGGGACAGCTTGCAGGCAGTTAGGAAACCGTAGAGAAGGCCAGTGTTACTGAGGCTGCTGGAAGACAACTGCAAACCCTGTAAGACTTCGCTTCAATTTTTTTTTCTCATTTTCTTTCATTCCAACATGCAACAAAAGTGACAAAGAGAAATTTAACATTGAGTATTAAATTTAACTCTATTGAAATCTCAAAACTTTTTTACAGCATTAAATTAATTTATAAATGATTCTGAAATACTACTTTTAAAATCATTTTCTCAACTTGGTGAATTTAGTTTAAGTGCTTCCCTTCAGACAGAGTATTTTAAAAATATATCTTAAAAACTCAAGCTAGGGCCTGGACAGATGGCCTAGTGGATAAGAATCTGAGCACTGCCCTTCAGAAGACAGTTCTCAGGATGGGTGGCTTACAACTGCCTGTAACTCCAGCTCCCGGGATCCCACACTCCTGTCCTTCCCGGACACTTGCACGCCTGTGCAGACAGCCTCAGGCACACCCACACATACACACATATGCACACAATTAAATAAAGTAAGTCCTTAAAAATAACACCTCAGGACAGGGAAACTTTTTGATAAAATCAGTCTTCCAGCTCAGGATTGAGTTAATCAGTCCTCTAACATTGAAGCTCTATACTGAGGCTTCTCATTCCGTTGCATTTTGACACACTGAATCTGATGTTTCTTTGCTGAGGCTCCCTGTGCATTAAAGGGAGGTTAACGACACCCTGGCCTCTACCTATGCCACCCCACCCACAGCAAATAAAAATGTCTCTAGATACTACCTGCTCCTAAAGCAAAATCTCTCTGCACTTTGAGAAGGACTCTGAAATGACTCAGCACCAGTTGATACAAACTTACATCTTTGGGAAGCAGTTACTACATAAGAAGTATACTTTTATTTTAACTGTTTTATTATTTATTTATTTACTATGTATACAACATTCTGCTTCCATGTATATCTGCACACCAGAAGAGGGCACCGGATCTCATAATGGATGGTTGTGAGCCACCATGTGGTTGCTGGGAATTGAACTCAGGACCTCTGGAAGAGCAGTCGGTGCTCCTAACCTCTGAGTCATCTCTCCAGCCCCCTAAGAAGTATACTTAACTACTATCCCATCCCCAGGAAAGTTTTACAAGTTCATCACTTGGGCTGGAGATAGGGCTCCATGGTAGAATGCTTGCCTCCCATATATCCCTAGCACAACAAAACAAAAGTACCATCTACACTTGTGTATGTATGCAAAGATTCACAGAAATGGGAAATTTACTTAAAATCTTTCTTCACACAGAAAGAGAGAAAACTGAACAGACAGACTGAATTAGCAAAATTTAACAGATTAAAACTATCTCTTTTAATCTTCAAATGAACTGTGTGGTAAATTCAATCAACTTACCTTTCTTCTCGTAATTTTCGAACTCGCTCAGCCCTCTCTCGTTTCTCTTGTTCCTCAAGAGCTCGCTGTTCAGTTGTGTCTTTTTGGATGCGTTCACTTAAGGCATCAAAGTCTTTCGCAATGATATGAAGTAGCCAATAAAGCCCCTTTTTAATGGACTTGTCAATTTTCTTTCCATATCCCAAGACTGCTGAACACGGTTCCTGAAGAAAATCATTTGACCCAATGATTAAAGCTAAAAGTTCTCCACATGAACATATTCATAAACCCTTAAGTAATATTATTGATAAAGCAAAATTTAGCCCTTTAAGTTAATAATATAACTTGCAAAGCACAATTTTGCAACAACTAAATTTAGTACTACCAGAACTTGAAAAATAATTATACACATTATCTATGCTACATCATGAGGAAGATGAGAGGACCAGATACAATTTTATATAAATTTACTGGAAGACAAACTGAAATGCCCCGAGAAAAGCACTGCTGTTTATTAAGAATTCCTGGAAAGACCAGGCACAGCAGTACACATCTCTCTACACAGCACTCTGGAGGCAGAGGCAGGCAGATAGATTTTTGGGAGTTTGAAGCCAGCCAAAGTGACATAGACAGACTCTGTCTCAAAAAAAGGGGAGGGGGGATATTGGAGGTTATAAATTCTTAGGCTGAGCTAGGGATGGTGGCGCACACCTTTAATCCCAGCACTTGGAGGGCAGAGGCAGGTGAAGCTCTGTGAGTTAAAGGCCAGCCTGGTCTACAAATCAAGTTCCGGGACTGCTACACTGAAAAACCCTGTCTGCAAAACAAAACAAAACAAAACAAAAAATCCAAAAGCAAACAACAACAACAACAAAACCAAGCAAGCAGAAAAAGAACAAAGAACAAAAGAAAACAAGCCTATGCCAGTGAAGTTCCAGCAACAGAACCATCTATGAGGCTTACAGCCTCAAGATCATTTCCCAAAGACTGAATAAGTCCTCTGCTGTGTTCAAGGCTGTACAACAGCTCAGAGTATGCTGTAACTTTCTAAGAATCTTATTAAATCTCTTATGCTAAAAATTTTGGGTTTTTTTCTAGTTTTCAAAATTTGCATCATGAAAGGTTACTGATTCTATCAGCAATATCTACCAAAAAAAAAAAAAAACCCAAAAAACAAACATAAAAAATGTAGAAAGAATGTAGGAAAGTTTCTAGAAGTTAGTGAAAAAATAGAAGAGATATTATAGTATTAACTGAACAAAGACAGAATGGTGCATGGCATAAAGGTTATCTTAATACTGTTTTATCTTTTTACATTTCTTTATTAATCTGGGGGTGTGCGGCAAATAGCACACAGCACGAGAGGTCAGGAGACAACCTGCTGGAATCTGTGGTCTCCTACCACACTGGATCCCAGGAAGTGAACTCTGTGGTCAAGCCTGGATGCTTTTTTCAGCTGAGTTACCGTACAGCACCACCCCAAAAGACTGTTTTCCAGTTGACTATCCTTTTTATAGAAACTAAATTTTCTGAACAAAATTAAACAAAATAATGACATTGATGACAATAATAATATAATACACTTACTATCTGGCACAGGCACTTGTGCTCATTGACCAGCTTCTCCAGAGAGAGACATTCGATCACATCGGCTTCTCCTAAGGCGCCCTCCTTGTCTTGTTTATTCGCCAATCTAGGAAGACAAAGGAACGGGTTGTACAGCAAATGTATAATCCCGGAGCAACTGACGTGTCCCTTTCAAGGTCTCTATTCCCAAGATTTCAATCTATCTTATAGGATAAGCTGGTTCAGGAATACTGTAGCACAGACTTCATAACTTTTCATAGTGACTGCTCTAAAACCCAGTGCATAAGAACTGGTTACAAAAAAAAAAACAAAAAAACAAAAAACAACAACAACAAAAAAAACAGCAAAGGCATCAAACAACAACAACAACAAAAAACCCACAAGCAACCACTAGAACGATAGTAAAAACAACCATAGAGGCCTCAGACAAAAATCCATGCCTTTTCTTCTTAAAAACAATGCTGCTGGGAATGTGAATTCCGTTCTACTCCACACTGGAGTGTTGAGATGAAGCAACTATGGAAACGAACGTGGAGCCTTCTCCTATCCCCTCCCTCATTCCAGACACAGTCATTGTCACTATTCCTGAGTTCAACTTCACACTGTTTTCTTTGGAAAACATAAACATATGTATTTTGTTTGAAAATATAAAAATATATTTTGGGGGGCAGTATGTCAAAAATTTACAACTAAGCTCTGTGTACCATGATATTTTTTTCCAAACACAAAACTCAATCCTGAAATTATCTTGCTGCAGAATAAAGAAATCTGTATTTCACTCGAAGCTGCAAAATGACATATCCTATAGAGCATCCAGTGTCCACGCAGCAATGCTGCACAGAAGGCTCTCTTCCTTGTCTTGACAGAGCACTGGGAAGGAGTGTTGTATTTGGTAGGGGAGGGGGAAAGAACAGATTTGAGAAAGTGGGAATTCAGACTCAATCTACATCTTACTTTGATTTCGATAATGTCCATCCAACATCTCCAATGGGGGTAGGAACATCAAAAAAGTAAAGGGTTAGCAATTTGAGACTATGAAAGAATTTTCATTCCTACATTTCTGTTAAGTATTTCTTCCTGGTAGAAATTAATTTTGAATTTCTATATTGACTTAATAAATACACAGCAGTACTGTATAACTGTAATTCTACTTTGAAAATTATAGAGACTTATTCTAAGGTCAAAATAACAGCCTAGAAAGAAAAGTGAAGTGGAAACTTGGAAGACAAAAGTCCTCTGTAATTCTGTGAGTTAAGCCCTGTGGGGTATCCAAGCAGAAGAGGATTCAATCTTAAATGGACTCTAAAACTATCCATTCCTGCTCATGCCTCCTTCATTCTGACCTTTCAGGGTTTGAAAGCGCCACAGAAACCTTTGTGTGGACACACCAGCATTTTTCAGAAGTCAGGCATTCTGCAGGCAGTGCAGACTAGGTACAGTGAACGTACTCACACTCTGGGTGAACAATTTAACGAGGACTTCCTGTTACCAAGGGAGCTCCGGTGAAAGCCATCTCCCTTTAATCTAAGGAACAGGTGAGGAACAGGCAAAACCAGATTTCCCAGGTGTGAAGTAAGCAACTCACACTTCTCAGCAAATGTACAACTTTATCTCCAACGTATTTGCCTTCATTGTTTGGCTTTCAGTTAACTGTATGAGAACCATAAAGAAAGCCTGTGGCTTAGAAGTGATCTAAGCATTGGATAGAGCGTTACAATCCATGGCACTCCGTTTTTCTCTCAGAATAAGGACTCTAACAACACCGGTGGGAAAACAAGAACAAGACTATAAGGTAAGTGAATTAATGTGTGTGTCTGTGTCTGCTATTTAAAGTGAAACATTCAGAATACTTTGAGTGTGTGTGTGTTTGTGTGTGTGTGTGTGTGTGTGTGTGTGTGTGTGTGTGTGTGTGTGTGTGCCATTTAAAGTGAAACACTCAGAATTTCTCTCTCTCTTTCTCTCTCTCTCTCTCTCTCTCTCTCTGTGTGTGTGTGTGTGTGTGTGTATGCGCACGTGCACATGCTATTTAAGGTGAAATACCCAGAAACTACAATGCAGGTATATTGTGACAGTAAAGAATGGCTCAGCAGTTCCTTCAGTTACTTTACTGTCTATTGCACAGAGCTGCAAGCAGCCGACCTGTCCTGGCTACAATGACCGGAAGAGGACTGAGGTGGAGTTACCGACCTCAGATACAATCATTACTTTAATTCTATAAAAACTTCTCAGTTTAGAAAAGCAGCTCCTGTGAAAACAAATCTGAAATTCTTTCTTTATTGATATTAAATTAATAATGCTATGTTTATTTTAGACAGGACTTTTACACTTAATACTGAACAAGACTTTATGCCCAAATTTGACAGAAAAATATGAATTTCTTCATTGTTGTATCCTAGCATCTGCTAAAGCTAATTTGAAGAAATTTTAAGATAGTTTTGTTGGGAAAGGGCTACTCTAAACTATCAAAGCACTCAAGCATTTTACTTTCGTAGATAGTACACTGAACATACTTAAACTAAAAATTATTATAGTCTGTTCAAGCCATTAGATCAACTTAATGGCTTATCAAAATGGGCACCATTTAAATGAAATGTAATTCCTAAGTTATATTTGTTCCTATAGCTGAATTTAATAAATACTCATTTCAAATCAACATAATGACTTTTTAAAGTATTTTTAAAGGAGATATGAAGTTGGCCACATAATATGCAAGGCAATCTCTCTTCAAGGCTATGCACTTTGAAATTTAATATGAAGACTACTTCATATCTATTTAACTTATCTGAATCAGATAAGCAAAAGTAAAAATCAAAAATAAAAGAACCAACAACTAACTCTTAGTAAAGTTATGATCTTACTAGTTAGTTCAACAAGAAAACTAACACATCCAAATTGAATCCAAAGAAAGGATACTGGAAGAATACATTACTAAAAATGTCAGCTAATTCAAGCTTACAAAATATAGAAAGTAAGATTCCCCCACTTTTAACCTTGAGCTAGAAGAAGCTGAAAGTTGTCTTTATACACAAGAACAAAATGTATTTCTTGAAGTACTTATTAATCAACATAGCAACTACAGAAAGTTTACTTTAGAAAATCCATAAGGAAATTAAACATGTATCCTATGGTGTATTTTTTAAATTTTATTATTTTTAATTAATTAATTAATTTATTTATTTATTTTGGTTTTCAAGACAGGGTTTCATTGTGTAGTCCTAGCTGTCCTGGAACCCAACTGTAGACCAAGCTGGCCTTGAACTCACAGAGATCCGCCTGCTTCTGCCCCACAGTGCTAGGATTAAGGGTGTTCACCAACACTGCTCCATGGTATATTTCTAAAAGTTGTGGGTAATGCATATTCATGCTTGTCTCTATGAATCTGCATTCTCTGTAGCAGGGCGAGAAATCCCTTTGGGTCATTCCTATTTACTTTTCTTTTTTCCCACAAGAAACTGTTGTAAATTATTCTTGTATCTGCTATTATCAGATTTTTTTCTTTTCTTAAATACCATACTTACACTCACAGATGTAGTCAACCTTATGGGTGAAATTCAAGCCACACAGCAAATTCAAAAACTTACAGTAGTAAATTAAACGTACCGATGATCTTATCATCTACAGACAGAATACAACCACACTAAGAGAACTGCATTAAAAAAAAGATCTCAAGAACTTCAAGCCTAACCAATTAAATGATTTCTTATGAGTTTCATATTTATGCTTACATGAACTGTATCCAAAATTTAAATTCCATTGGTCTACCTGTCTATTTTTGTGCCAATACCAAGCTGTTTTCAGGACTATCACTCTATAATAGAGCTTGAAGTCAGGGATGGTGATGCCTCCAGAAGTTCCTCTATTGTACAGGGTTGTTTTGGCTATTCTGGGTCTTTTGTTTCTCCATATAAAGTTGAGAATTGTTCTTTCAAGGTCTGTGGAGAATTGTGCTGGGATTTTGATGGAGATTGCATTGAATCCGCAGGTTGCTTTTGGCAAGATTGCCATTTTTACTATGTTGATCCTACATGTCCAAGAGCATGGGAGATCTTTCCACTTTCTGGTATCTTCTTTAATTTCTTTCTTTAGAGACTCAAAATTCTTATGGTACAGGTCTTTCATGTTTTTGGTTAGTGTTATACCAAGGTATTTTATGTTGTTTGTGGCAATTGTAAAGGGTGATGCTTCTCTGATTTCTTTCTCCACCAATGTGTCATTGGTATATAGTAGTGCTACAGTTTTTGAGTTAATCTTGTATCCTGCCACTTTGCTGAAGGTGTTAGTCAGCTGTAGGAGTCGATATAGTCTAATGTAGACTATCATATCGTCTGCAAATAGTGAGAGTTTGACTTCTTCCTTTCTGATTTGTATAACCCACACACTTACGAACACCTGATTTTTGATAAACAATCCAAATTTATACGATGGAACAGAGAGAACATCTTCAACAAATGGTGCTGGCATAACTGGTTGCAGACATGTAGAAGACTACAGATAGACCCAAGCCTATCACCTTGCACAAAATTTAAGTCAAAATGAATCAAAGACCTCAACATAACTCCAGCTACACTGAACCTATTAGAAGACAAAGTAGGAAATACCCTTGAATTAATTGGTACAGGAGACCGCTGAGGTCAACAATTGATAAATGGGACCTCCTGAAACTGAGAAGTTTCTGTAAGGCGAAGGAGACAGTCAGCAAGACAAAACGGCAGCCCACAGACTGGGAAAGGATATTTATCAACCCCACATCTGACAGAGGGCTGATCTCCAAAATATATAAAGAACTCAAGAAGCTAGTCTCCAAAGCACCAAACAATCCAATTAAAAAGCGGGTTACAGAATTAAATAGACAATTCTCAATAGAGGAATCTAAAATGGCTGAAAGACACATAAGAAAGTGTTCAACATCCTTAGCCATCAGGGAAATGCAAATCAAAACAACTCTGAGATACCATCTTATTCCTGTCAGAATGGCCAAAATCAAAAACACCAATGACCGTTCATGCTGGAGAGGATGTAGAGAAAGGGGAACACTTCTCCACTGCTGGTGGGAGTGCCAACTTGTACAGCCACTTTGGAAATCAGTATGGCAACTTCTCAAAAAAA